GTAACCAGGCACAGGAGAAGACCCAGAAATTTTATGTTCTATGCCACATCTTTACCTTCTGCAGCGATCTTAGAGGTGTTTGAGGAAGGAGTTTTCAGCTCCAACATCCCAAGAGAGGAATTTGAGTCTGGATTTGGGAGACAGATTTGTGTGAGGGAGGTCCCTTTCCTTTAGGATGGTGAGGCACAGGCCAAGTTGTTTCTGATCCTCATGCTGCAGAAAGGAATCTCCTGTTTTGCCATCGCATAGCATCCATGTCTGTGAGAGGTGGGAAGCTGTGTTCCCTGGAGTGGAGGAAACAGAGCCATGACCTCTCTTTCCTGATTCCACCCCAGATTCTGCCAGTTCTGCTCCCTTCTTGTTCCCAGCCTGACTCTGCCCTCACACAGGGTTCTGGTGCTGCTTCCACAGGACAAAGATGAGCACATCCTGCTCCTCCTCCTCTCCCAGATCTCTCCCCACTGGTGACTTTTATGCTACTGGAGAGCTTGCTTCACCACCATTAAAGGTGTCAGGAGAGGTTCTCCTGCCTCGGACACTGAGACATCCTGTGATCCATAGGACGTCGGATCTGATCAGAACCCACAGAGAGTGGAGCTGAGGATGCGTGTCCTGTGCCTCCATCACAGAGAAGCCTCCCTGAGGAGGGAAGGAGGCTGTCTGTTCTAAAGGTCCCTTCTCCACCTGACCTTGTGTAGGTTCTAGGTGCAATTTCCTTTCTAGTTCACTTTCTCTTGTTTCCTGGAGGTGATTCCTAAATTCTAAATGCTTACCTAATTATAGTTGTCCCGTTAAACAATTATGTATTATAAACCCTATGCTCGTGATGACAATGTTCCTAAAATTAAAACGTATCTCTGACTTTCCAATCTTTATTTAGCCAGAAGTGTGCAATTCATTTTCACTATTGGTGCATTGGGGATTCAGGAAAATTTTTTCAAGTACAATACAGCAAGAACTCTCATGATTGCTTTGCACTAATTTTCATAGTAAATGCTTTAGAGATTTTCTAAGGTCACACCCAACAAATGGAATCTACCATTGACATTAATTAGATGTCCATAAAGAATTCCTGGTTGAGCTGACATTCCTATCAATTCATCTCTGAGTCAGGAAAGTGGAGCTGAGGATTCCTGTTGGAGAGCAGAGACCATCATCATCCCTCCTCACTCGGAGACCCTGAGCATGGAAATTTCACATTCTGACCACCAAGGTAAAGAGTGGCAAATGCTGCATGTAAGTGTTACTCAGTATGTGACCTGTTCAGCAAGAAAACACATGTACAACATCATAATCACTGCCATGAGTGATATTTGTCTACTTTGGAAAGGGGAAAGCCAACAGAATCTTCACCTGTGATCCACAAGACACAAAATCCACTGTACTGTTTTGTCACACCTGTGACTGAGATGGGTCCCTGCCCTTCAGTGCACTATCTTTTCAATGCATTGACTGATCTGTATCCATGTCTTCTGAAATTCTTATTTCTCCAAGTCACTTCCTGAACAGCGACTTCAGTCTAGCATATTGCTCTACATTAATTTAGTTTTTTAGATATTTTTCATGAGTACATATTCCAAGTATATAATGATTGCAATCCTCATGGTTAGTAAGATAACGCATTCTGCTTTTTTACCCTTTTGCTCCCCCTTCTCAAATCTACTCACAATCAAGTGGTCAAACTCAAGTAACAGTTCAGTCAACAGTAGTAAGGAGAATTAGACTAACAGATTATCCAGGGACTCTCAGGGTAGGATCTGGACAAGCAGGTAGAACCATTCTGAGTCCAAGCAGGAGAACAGTGACATCCAGAAGTAGGCTAGTGTGTTACTCTCTGGGTGGGTACTGGTTCCAATCTTTGATACCAGACCCCTCTACTTCCCTGCTCTGAGATCACTCTTAGAGTTACTTCTGCATTCACAGTTCTGATCTCTGTTATGAATTACACGACATTGATGGATTTGTATGAAGACTGACATGTATTTTATAGAGAGAAGAATAAAGGTTCAGTTATGCAAAAGGTCTTGTGGTGGGGAGGGCATCACCAGCTCTGCTAAAGCCTTGGAATGTCTGAGGATTTGATCGCTAACGTTATGTTAGTGCATGTTTCTTTTGTGGGTTTTGTTATAGACAAGCATTGCCTGTATTCTACATTATATTACAGTTCTGATGGGAAGATCCAAGAATGAACAGACACTGACATAAGAAGAGGAAGAGGAATACTCCTGGAAAGTATCAATGAGGAGGAAGTTGATAATCAGGGTCTAAGATGGTGTTAGGCTTCACGCTTAGGACGTGAGGATGGTTCACTGATCAACTTTTCCCTCCATGATGAGATGAGAGCATAAACTAAGGGTTGGAGATGAGCTTTGTGAAACACTTCTGAGAAGAAATGAGGCTCTTTGTAACAGTAATGTCAAGAATTCAGAGACATAGCAACACAGAAGAGTGGTAGTGTTGTTGAATAATGCTCAGCTGAGGTGTATGGTGAGATGAACACCCAGGAGATCCACGTTCCTCCCACTTTGGTTCAGTACTTTTCTTTGAAACCCAATTTGCAACATTAATTCTAAATTTGAATTCTTACTTGAGCCAGGTTTCTAATGTCTCAAATTGAAGATGATATCTGCACAATCATGACTGAACTCTGAGTAACCCAGGAGGATGAAACAGAAGAAAACCCATAAAATTATTCAGATTTTAAGTAATCTGCAGATCACTATTATTAAGAAGGTGCAATGGAGAGGATCATACTCCATCTCAGGTAAGGGCATATTCTCAAACATGTTCATGTCCTGGGTGGGAAACAACAGATGCCCCTGAGACATCATATCAAGAACATGAAATTTCAGTCCTTAAACACAGGACACATCAGTGAGGATGCTGGTCTAGTTGAGGAGCAAAGAAGAATGAGAAGGTGGAGGTGGGTGAGCCTACGGGGATGAGTATGAGGGTAAGGTCCTTAGTCACATCTGAGAGATGGGGACTGTGCATGAGAATGTCAGCTCCACTCTGCCTTCAGGAGCCATGGATGTGTTTGCAAGTGATTTTGTGCTGTTAACTATGTAACTGATCTCAACAAACTGTATTGATAAGAGTGATATTCCTGATGATTAAGTCATATTTGATTGTTTTAGCAAAATTTACAAGTACACATGTGACTGTTAAGTACAGAATTTGGTGAGATAAAAACATGCTTCAAGGCAGAATCACAGGAATCTGTTTATGAAAAACTATGCAGACTATAAAAATGGAAGGTGTCATTGTTTGTGTCGGTGGACCCTAGGCCTCATGTATTTATATTATGCATCTGTGATTGCTTCATTGTACAGTGCTTGGATTGATGGTGTCAGTGCTACACTCACATAGGTGTGGAGCCAGGATGTGAAGTAATTACAGGAAGAAGGCATGTCTTGCTCTCTTGCCAGTTTCTGGCTTGCTGTTTGCAGCCACCATGAACTGTGGCCCTGCCATGCCACCCTGCCATGGAGCCAAGTGAGTATGGACTGAAACCTCCATAATCTGTAAGAAATAAACCTTTCCTTTCCCAATATTGGACATCAGGTATTTTTGTCTCAGCGATGAGTAAAAAGTAACTAAGACAGAAGATTTCACCTTAATGAATCTCCACTCTTTTCTTGATAGACTGAAAACTGAGAGATGAGTAAGAAATAGATGACACTTACAAGAGAATGGAGATGCAGTGAGCAGCAGAGGAGGAACTGTTCCTCACCTGCTGTCCAGACCTTTGACTACAGGAAAGGGAGGGAGAGCAGAAAGACTGAGGTGAGTCAAACGGACACAGGAAGGGTCAAAACGGTGGGTGGAAACTCACAGAGATAGAGAATTCAGGAACCCCGCAAGCATAAGATAGCAGGGGGTGGTGGCCTGGCCTGATGAAAAAAACAGCAGGAAGCAGTACAGTCCCCACACTGCATGTGCTCCTGGATACCCTCTCAGCAAGGGAGAAGCATGCAGACTCCTGCCTCCTGCCCCCAGTAACACACACATAAGTGACAGGATGCAGTTCAGACTGAGATGTTACCAACTGAAGTAAAACAGTAACTTGACATTTAAATTGTTTGATTAACTTTGCAAGCCTGGGGCTGGGAACTTGAGCAAACTAATAAGAGGAAAGGGAGAGAGAGAGAGAGAGAGAGAGAGAGAGAGAGAGAGAGAGAGACAGAGAGAGAGAGACAGAGAGAGAGAGACAGACAGACAGAGAGAGACAGACAGACAGAGACAGACAGAGACAGACAGACAGAGACAGAGAAAGAGAGAGAGAGAGAAAGAGAGAGAGATATTATGATACAGAATGGTTTTGCTGTATTTTATAAATTGTTTCATTTGGAAGGTGCAAAAGAAAGGCACAGGGCCAAGTGCTGCTCAGCCTTCTTGTCTTGTAAGAGCACATCAACATCCGCAGACACTGCCCTGAGTCCAATTAGGCTGCTCCTATTCCTCCTCACCTAAGCTCAGGCCTCCTTACAGTGCTTGGACTGATCCTGGGGACCAGGTATCAGGAGGTCAAAGAGAAGAGGGAGCTGTGCATTCTCAGAACCATGGAGAAGAAAGGTAAGGATATAATTCCCTAATCTGAAGCATTTATTACTGCATGAAACAGATCCTCATCACCCGAGCTAAACCAGCAGGTCCACTTTAGATGATGAGAATATGACAGTGAGTAGAAAATTAACTTCACAAGTGCACAAGTTCCTTTGAGATGGGTGCAAGTTTTCTTTGCCCGTAATATTCATAAACAGAAAATGGAAAAAAAAAATCAGACTTCTTATGTACTTATGCAATTCCATTTAACAGAGAAATTTTCCTTGAACTTGGATACTTCATTGTGGGATGATTGAGGATCTAAGACTTTAACACAGTGGAGAACTCCAGAGGCCACAGGAAACCCTCACTCTCCTGCTTCCTTCTCTGCACCTGCTCCTGGGGAGCTCTCTTTCCACGCACCACAGCGACCTCTGTTGGGCATAAGGGACCTTTCAGGGAGCTTTTTGTCTGGGCTCACACTGATGTTCCCTCAGTGTGTCTCTTGCACAGTAATACACTGCCAAGTCCTCGGGTATCAGCCTGCTCATCTGCAGATACAGCGTGTTCTTGCCGTTGTCCCTGGAGATGGTGAATCGGTCCTTCAGGGACTCTGCGTAGTATGTGTTACCTTTGGTACCGACAGATGTGATCCACTCCAGCCCCTTCCCTGGAGCCTGGCGGACCCAGCTCATGCCATAGCTACTGAAGGTGAATCCTGACGCCACGCAGGAAAGTTTCAGGGAACCCCCAGGTGGCACCAAGCCTCCACCAGACTCCACCAGCTTCTCCTCAGCCTGGACACCTGAAAACACAAGAACATCCTGTTAGGAAACTGTCACACATGTCCACTGTTTATCCTAGTCACGTCCATTTTGCCATTCCATTTTTTTTGTTGTTGTTCTCAGGAATTTACCTCTCAGAAGTGCAAACAGGAAAACCCAACTGAGCCCAAACTCCATGATGAGCTGTCTGTTCTTAGTCCTGTTCACCGAGTGGGAACCAGGACTGGGCTCCTCTGCAGAGCTGCAGGGAAAGGGCTGGGCTGGTTTTCTTGAGTACAAGGAGGCCCTATTTGCATGGCCTCCTGCTAAATACACAGCTGTGGGCATGAAAAGCCCAGAGAGGGCAGAGGTAACATCTGATATTAGTGTGCTAATAGCATTTGGTAGCAATTATGTCATTCAAGACAACAGAAAAACTCATTATGTGATGAACTCTTGGTCTTAATCTCTTTGCCAATTTTTATTTTTCACGTATCCATAACATGCTCATTTGTATTTGCCTCCTCTGGGAATATATAAAATTATCAAATTGTTGAGAACATTTTCCTTTCCTGCAGGAGAGCTGATATGCTGTAAATGTCCTCCCCACTGTCTGGGACTATGCTTTCCCTAGCTGTGAACAAACTACTTCCTGTTCCAGGGCCTGAACATAGCACACACAACTGGGGTGACTTTCATCCTCTTTTCCTACAGGGAGAACACTGAGTTTGATGAATTCTGCTGTCTGTTGAGAGAAAACAGAACCTTCGTCCATGTGGATGCCTGCTACTGAGTTTCTTAGTTTCACCTCTCACTGACTCTCTCACTGTTTCTCTGTGTTGAGACTTTGTGTATTTGTGATAGCTTCATCAGATGTAACACATAAACTACCCATAAAAAAGTGTGCACCTCAGAAGTATTATCATACAGGAACACTTGTACAACTGTATACACACAATCACAGAAGTAAACTCATGCATCATCCTCAGGATGTCCTGAGGCTCCACTGTAATCCCTCCCTCCCCTGCTTCACACCTGCATCCCATGCGCAGGCATCTCATGACCCTCCTTGGGTTGCTTTACATTAACTTTCCTATTTCAACATTTACACTATGAGCACATACCCTATAATGCTAGTCATGTTTAACACAATGTTTTTTTGAGATATCTATATATGATTGTATGAGTCAGCATTCACAGATATTTATGCTGATTCTCTTAAAAATAGTACATAAATGAAAGCTGGGGCTACAGCTCAGTGTTAAGCTAGTTGCCTATTGATTCTCAGGCCTTTTCATGCCCTGTGAAGCAAAAATAATGAAGAAATTAATTGTCAGACACTTCAGATCAATTCCTCAGTTAGTCTGTTAATGCTCATTTAAGTGTTCTAAGCTTATTATTGTTACAAAGGCATCATCATCTTCAAAATATAGACACATCAAAAAGTTGTTTTTAAAATACACACAGTACAAACGTAAACAAAACTGAATTCGCTGATTTCATAATTTATAAACACATAAAAGGAATGAAATTACAAGGCTATTAAAACATGGAATCTGTAAACCTGAGGATCAGGTTTACATAATAAAGAGGAGCAAACCTTATGGACCTAGGCCAAAGTCAGCCTAGGCCATGTGATCAGGTGATTCACGTGGAAGCAATTCCTGGATTATTAAGACTGCGTGTGCTGAAGCATCAGAGTGTTAACATGACACATACAGAAACGTAGGAGTTGATTATGTCAATGACTGCTGTAAAATTACCCCACAAGGAGCAACTTAAATGAAATATGGATCTTGAGAGTTAAAGAACAGGCAAAGACAGAGTTGGTGTCTGGCAAGAGGCAGCTGTGTGCTTCAACCATTGTCTAGTTTCTACACCCTCAGTGCGGGAAGAGATTCACACTGGGTCCCTCCATCACAGAGAGGCAAAACAAGACATCACCTCAGGTCTCAAGAGCCCTGATTTCATCTAGGAACTCCTGACTCTTCCAGGCAAATTTCTCAAGAAAGAATCCACGTGGTAATGACGTCCTCCAGGGGGCCATGAGCTCCCATGCATGAGCTTCTATATGGAAATCCTGAGAGCCAAGGCTTTCAGATCCCATCTTGCAATCCTCTCCTCCATCCTCTTTTTATCTTTGACTGAAGTCCTTTTAATCTTTCCTAATGACCCCAAAGCTTTCAATCTCTCTAGTACCAAATTAAAATCTGATGTAAATACCCTTTACATAAATGATGGGTGACATTTTGTGGTTGGCATTTCTGTGTTTGTACTTCTGAAATTAAATTATATAATTTAAGTGCTCCCTGAATACAGAGGTGTGCTTGATATGGGATGCACATTCCCAATACGAGCATAGAAAGGACAACAAAATCAACATCAACCAAACCCAGCTAGACCCACATTTCCTTTGTGATCCAGAGTCATACTCCTTGCTTCCACTCTCTGTGACTTTATGTCACTGGACTTGGTTCTGGCAGATCCATTCCTAGGTATTGAGGGTGCAGCTGTGATAGGGGTCCCTACAGAAAGGACCTGCAGCCTGAAGTGTCCTGGACCCCGCTTTTTATGGTGATGGCTCTACAAGTCAAGATCTTGCAACAAAAGAGACCACACAGATGTGTGAGACACCAGGCTCAGGGGCTACACTGTGTGGGTTTCAGTCCCACTCTCATGCTGGCGTCGCTTTTGTGGGAGGCTCTGCAGTTTCCCCACTCTGCAGAGCTCACTGCCTGCACTGAAGGGGTCTGGGTCTTGCTCTGACAGCCAGATAAACGTGTCAGTGCTCATACCTCTTGGACTATGCACACATGTAGAGCGAGTGCCCCATGCACACATGAGCACACTTAGTGGAGTGCACACCCTGCACTGCATTTATAGTAACCCATACTTCATGGGACACAGTGGAGCCTCATGGGTAGTGACTGTGGGAGGTGGCTCCAAAATATTTGTTACTGACACTTGTGGAGACACTGAGAAATGAGACTTGAGGTCAAGTCTTCCATGTATGACACTGTCAAGCTCTCAAGTCCCTGCTCTCCTCTTGTGGTGGAAGTGGCAGCTTCTAAATCCAATTTGGATCATTTCACTATTTTTTCTGTTGAGCAGCCTCAGGTTTCTCTCTGTCTCTGCTACTCTCCTTATCACAGGTTCCCTCTGCGTCCTCAGTGTTGACTCTAGTAAACATTGTGTACAGAATTAAACACATATACCCCCAATGATTTGTGTGCACCAAATGTTTAGCAGCAGTTCAGATCTTGGAAACAATCTAAATTTGACTTAAGAATGGATAAAAATGATGAAGTATTTCATACAATGGTGTACAAGTCAGCCATAAAGAAGAAAAATCAGGACACTTTTATAAGTAAATGGATGCAACTTGAGAACATACTCATTGGTGAAATAAGGCATACATTGTAGACATACTGTTTAATGTGACAAGCTAAAAGAAAATATGAATATGTGTATGTATATGTTTAAAAATAGTTTAGACAGTTGTATTACTGATTCTTCAGAGAATTCACTGAAGAAAAAGATTTGTGTTGGTATTGTTCACACGGTTTAGTGTAGATGTCTTGTGCTTTGCATGAAAGGTTTGGGGATGACAGTTCGCAATGTGTGTACCATTGTTGCCCCTGATGGATGTGTTTAAAATTTTGTTGTGATCTCTTTTTGCTTCTCCTCTTTCGCCTCCTCCTCCATGTCCTTTTCCTTGTGCTTCTCCTCCTCCTACTTCTCCTCCTTCCCTTTCTCCTTCTCCTTCTCCTCCTTCTCCTTGTCCTTCTCATTGTCATTGTCATTCTCATTCTTCTTCCTATATTTCTTCTTCTTTTCTAATTTTATTCTTGAATAAAATGTGTTTGAAAAGAAGCATTTATGATTTATAACTTGGCCAATCTAGGAATTTCCCAAGTTATAAAATTTCCATTTCTTTGAGTTGATAGTCCACCCTAAAGTATCCCTGGTTTTAATTATTGCATCATTAGAGATGAACTACACAAGAACACACAAGAACAGACAGAGCACAGAGGGTAAGAATGGTTTCATAATCTCTTACAGTGAGTGATGCAGTTACTGAAAGACCTCACACAAGGGTGCAACTTTAAATTTTCATCACATCCCGAAAGCGTGATGCTGAGAATGAAGATGGATCCACTTACCTTGGGGAACACTCAACATTCAACAGCAGTATTACCAGACTGGGGATTTAGTTTAGCAACATAAGTGCCTGCTTGCAAAGCACAATGTCATGAATTTAAGCTGTGGTACCCCATCAAAAAATGGAAGTATTATCTAAACAAATACGTATACCTAATGGAATTCAAATGGTATTTACCCATGAAATAGAAGCAAAATCCCTTTTTTTCTACAGTAAAAATAATAAAGTTTACAAAAAATTTGTGTAAAGAAATAATGCTGATGGACTCATAATATCCCTATGTAATTAGATAAAAATACAGTACAAAACAGCATGATGATTAGATTAGATAAAACACAGTACTAAAACAGCATCATGCTGGAAAATGGACAAATGTAACCATGCAAAAAAAATATAATGCCAAGAAATAAACCTTCTGTGAAGCCAAAATATTTCCAACAAAAGAAGAAGGAGCACAGGTTTGGTGTTACTTCAACAAATGGTGCTTGGGAAAATGTGAATCTCCATGGTGAATCATGAGATTAGAAACCTGTGTCTCAGCATCTCAAGTGTACACAAAATTAAACATATAACTGTTTAAAATAAAATTTTAAAAATAATGAAAATATATATCAACTTCTAAATAGCCTATGCCTAAGCGAATATTTTCCTGAGTATAATATAAACACATAGGAAAGAAAAGTGAAAGTAGAAAAGTGGAATTACAGCAAACGTGAAAGAAATGTCATACACAAAAGAGATGATCAACAGAAGGTCAAGACATCACCATGTGATTTGGTAAAACACTGAATGGTAACATGGTTATATAAACAATGCATAATAAAGCCAAAATGTATAAATCAAAGTGATAATCATAATAAGGCATATATTTTTTTAAACTTGGCCAATAATCTTAATAGACATTTGACTAAAAGAATATCACATGGAAAAATAGGCTCAGAAAAATGATCGGTGTAATAATTCTAGCTATATAAATGAAAATACAGTATTATCCACCACAACATCTTTTCAAATGTACAAAACAAAAGATAAAACTGTGATGATCCCTGGAGAGAATGTGTAGAAAGGGGAAATCATTAAACTCTTGGAAGATATG